TCCCCCTCTCCCAAACTATACAGAACACACAAATGCTTCTTGGTGGTTTCCATATTTCGTAAATTTGTTATTTCTGTTTTATCAAAAGAAATATCTTTGGGTACCTGATTTGGTAAATCAATCTTTCCTTTCCAGTACCAGTTTTTATGTAACTTTTAACCTTTTTAAGTCGCCGGTCAGACTGGTCAAGAGAGGGAATGCAGCCTCAAGCTCAAGTATAATTTATATGTGCTAATTTAATAATGGGGTCTTGAGGTTCGTTATGAGGAATAGTTGTCTGATCTTGGCTGAATAAATATTTTAAAACAAACTAGCTGATATTTTGCATTGAATATTAAGCAGTATGTTTAGAAAGATTCTTGAGAAGTTTTGGAACTGTTAAAAGGGCTAAAAGTAGCTTAAAGCTTTAAAGCTAGTTAAAAGGGCAATAAATGTAACGAAATCATGATTGTAATGCATAAAACTCTTATACTCTTTCATGTTTCATATATTACATGGATATACCGTACAAAGTTTGAATTTATAAAAGCATTTCACTTGGTTGAGTAACAGGAATAACTCATTTTACGAACAGACAAACATGAGAAGGGGAATACTAGCAGAACTTTCATTTTCGCATTTTTATTTTAAAAGAATTGAGGCAAGTAATGACTTGTTTGTCAATCAAAAGGAAATGTGAAAAATTATAGGATGTAATTCTAAAGAGGCACAAGTTTTGAAATTACTGAATTAAAGAATTAATTGAAATTTTGTTTACTATGAATTTGCAAGTTTTACAATTTCACTTAGTAATAAATTGTGCTTACATTATATGCACTAAGTTTCTTAAAAAAATGTGCAGTAATATAAATAAACCGACGCGCAAAACATGAGGGACATTTAAGTAATACTGTGTATCTCTATGCACCCGAATAACTGCAATTTCTCAGTGTTGCATCAAGTTAAAGAGATCTTGGATTTGTTCCGTGACTATATCAAATCAGGTATATTCAATGGGTGTCCACATGCACCCTGTTTGTTACAAATCTTTTCAAGGTATCTAGTGAAGTCTGAGTATTACTCGATAAAGGGTCAACAGGATTTAAATCTAACGATCCTAGAAACCCAGTGGGTACTTGAAAGTCAATAGATTGCATACTGAACAAGTTCTGTGTTACATCTAATCGAAGATTGAATCCGTTACTTTGTTGACATAAATCACAGCTACAGGGAAATAGAACATTTATAAAGAGGCGCAAGTACCTGAGGTAGAAGCCGTAGTAACACCGATGTCTATCAATCTTGAACTGATGCATTATTAACATAAACTGTAACTGCTACGTCGTACTTCTGTAAGTTGGCCCAAAGAGAGCAAACAGAAATTTAATACTTTGTATAATATTTTAGCATATGAATTTATATGGCTTTTCTCTGATAATATTTTTTCGTAAGCATTCGTATTATCAAATTTTGAGTATTGCAAAATAGGAGTTTGATTTAAATATTACTCCTTCCGAACATAAGGGAAGAAATAACCGTATGCTGAAATTTTGGCAGAGCCCATATGTTCGTTATACCCAAGTCTGATAGTAAGCTGAAAATTCGAAGAAAGTCACTTCATGTAACAAAACATTGAGTTATTCAGTAGAATAGTGAATAATTAATTACAAAATTTTTAATTAAATTGATTTTAAATTTTATGAAGATGCTGTTTAGTATTCGAATCTGATGTCTGTAACCATAGTAACTAAAGTTATCTAATAATTTTTTCTTTCTTTCATGAAACATGTGTACACTGATAAATCTCAGGTGTTATATTTTCAAAAATTGTGACGCTATATTTTATTAATCAGGAGTATGTAGTCTAACTGAACTTAAGTTGCCCATAATAAATTCTAATTAGCATTTGATCATTTTTGATTGAAACTACGCTCTCAAATGTCAACTTTAATCAGTTTGTCATTCTCAAAATTCTGTTTAAAAATGATCAGTTGTGAAATGTAACGTACCTGTAAATTTCTAAGGCGAAACATAATTGATGATTTTTAACTTTAATATTATTTTTCACTAACATTTCTATTTAGATGATGCAAAATCTCTTTGCCTAGGTGATATTCTTTAGATAAAGAATTCATGCATAACTTACTTCAAACGTTTCACAGCTTATACAATACAAAGCATACATACATATTATAATAATTACTTCTAGCCTACCGTTTGAGCATTGCTAGAAATACGCTGCTCAAAACAACAAGGCGATATTGTAAGTTCAGTATGAAGCAACATATAATAGAATAGTAGTTCAATAAAAATAAAAGAAAGGGCATTATAAAAGAAAATTATGACTTTTTCAAATTTAGGAATATGCAAATTTTATCTGTGACTTCAAGATTAACAAGTTTCCGATAAGAATAGAAAAAGGGATCTGCAGCATATTTTATGCAGGAGGAGACTAGAAACTATTGACTTTCGCTGAAGGCTTCGTAGCAGCGAATGTGATGGTGTTGGTGTGTATTAAGAATACGGCAAAGCACACTAGGGCTATCTGCCTAAGAGGAGGGATGCCTTCGTGGAGGACTTTCTAAGGGAAACAGGCTCGTATACACGTTACACATGGGGAAAACCACGAAAACGCCCATGCAGCCAGCCCGTTCGCGGGACTCGAACCTCGGACCGAACTACCAGTGTTCAGCGATTTTACCGCTCGGCCGCTGGTGGGCCGAATGTGATGGCTCGACCGATATTTGATAGTATGAACGCCTCTTCTTTACAACAGTACTTTTTGAGGGCTATTGGCACAGTATTTCAACTCAAGCCATTCGAAATGATTCCTCAGTAGTGGTTTACTTAGTAGTGGTGGTTTACCACTTACAAACTAAGCAGACCCGTGGTTTGTGCTTTTTTAACAGCTGACTACGATACTGCCAGTAGAAAGTGAGCAGAAGAGCATCTTAGACGGAGACGAAAGGAATGGAGCAATATTGTTTTCTCCGTCCCACTTTGGTGCATAACTTGACAATAGACAGATTATCATTTGGAGAGAATGTGCACTCAGGATAATCCTGCATTTGTGAACGAAAGTGTCCGATTTCATAAAGTGAATTGATTTTCTGATCTGTATATCTGTATTAATGGCCGAACCAACATGTGTATCATCAGAAATGAGCATCTGACAACTCAGCGATATAGAAGTGAGATCCTCGGACCTTACACTGCAGTCGTCGGAGATGAACTCATTTTCATGAAAGGTAACGTCAGGTCACATCGTGTTTGATTAGTAGATATTTTTGACAAAGTATTTGACTTCGAATGTACTTGACGCCACGTTTTCCAGACCTCAATTCAATCGAAAATGTTTGGGACATTCTAGGAAGAACGAATGGTCGCTTTTCACCCACCAGAAACATTTCAGTAACTGAAAATCTCTGTTCTACAAGAGTGGAAAAGAATATCCCAGTCCCTCCTTGATAACCTCTCTTATTTAATGAGTTTTTTAATCCTAGAAATTATGCTCTTTATTCCTGTTTATTATACTTACAAAATATGGACTTTTTGCTTTCCGATAGAAAACGAGGAAAATGAATTATTTCTTATTCCCTGAGCAATCTTTCCCCGTAATAGTTTATAGCACCTATGGATCAAGCATCAGCTAACAAAACCTTTCCTTATCCGTCTTTATATCTAGAACCAGAATATCTCCTAAGTGTTGTTTTGAGAAGTATATTTATCTTTATTACACTTAGTTTATTTGGCCATTTTTATTTCGTATTTTCCTTTTGCTCTATTTTATTTTTAAGCATTGAATACTAAGACTCCATAGACGTTCGAAGTCAGTGTGATTCTTTCATATTACTATTTTTTCACGTATTCTATGCTTCTTAGCATTGCTTGCTAAATTTTTAATCTTCGGGACACTGTTTTATTCTGTTGCCCGGTGCGGACGCACCGGTTGCATATGCTCTGTCACCGGCCCTGGGTATAAATACATTTTATGTGCATGGTTTGGTAAACTATTAATTTGCTTATATACTGCTGAGGCTTTAAGTTGAACACAATATGCGGTATCGTGTAATATGATACCCTAACTATAAAATCAGCAAGCTATTTTAAATGCAAGCCCTGTCAGGCTTGCATTTAAAATAAGTATAAAATCAGGAAGCCTAACTATAAAATCAGGAAGCTAGTTCAAATGTTTTAATTTTAAACACTAAATCCTATTTCTTACTATAAATCAGATATCTAAATGTATTTTGTATAACAAGTTGAATACGAGTGACGTTAAAAACAAGGTTTCTTTAGACTAGAAGAGAAACTCGCTAATGTGACAATCAAAATCGTAAAAACAACCTTGTATTTAGCGTAAGTATATTAAAACACTTAATCGATTTCGAGGGCAGCTAAAGATTTCTTTATTCAGAAGAGTCATTTTTTATTTCAAAGGTTAACAAAAGTTCTATGAATGCCCAATACGCCTTTGCTATATTATGCATAAGTTCAATATACTATGAAGTAATGCATCACAAATATATTGCATTAATATTTTATATTCTATAGTTACAAGAAATATCTATTCTCACTTCTCATAGTTGGTAGAAAGTTATTAAATGCTGTTTTTTCAGTTGTACTATAACTAAACTTGTTTTAATAAATGGATAGTCATCATTTATAAATATATGTATTAGATGCTGTTTCAAACGATTTATTTCTGTAAACCATCGCAATGAATATGTAGAGACAGTAGATTAATTAGAAAAGCCGGAGAGATGAAAAATTAACAAACGCCTTCGCCGAGAATCGAACAACGGACCTCTGGAATACCGACCCAGCGTGCAGAACCACTACTACACGAAGGCATGCCAAGAAAGCGGGAGAATTACCTTATAAATAAAAGTTAAAAGACAATGTAGTTAAAATAAAAATCAGAATTGTGTAGCAAGTGCAGTAAAACTTAAGCAAATGCCAATGAAATTTAAAAAATATAAATTATTAGCATGATTTTTATTAAAACGAAAGAAACGTACCTTGTATCACACGCAGGGAGATTCCTTCCATGAGACACAAAGCAGATATAAGGAAAGCATCAGCAGCTGACCTCAGTCCCAAATATGTCCAAAAGGTGAGTGATAAGTCCCCAATGACATCATAACATTGTGGCTTCTTTCCATCAGTAAACATTGATAATAAGCATTTAATCCCAGTGATACCTTCAGCTGGAGAACGTCGACAAAATACAGAATCGTGTGACTTGTTGTTGACTTTGATTATTGTTCCAGTATTGGCAGGAACAAAATTGCATACGTTGAGGGAAGACGATGTTATGTCGCTGTCAACAAACGAAAATTCTTTCGTAGATACGTTTCTATATTCGGTGAATTGCCATAATCTAAGATCAGAATTGAATTCCAAGTTTGAATTTTCACGTACATGAGCATCATAAACAAGGCACAAGTTCGTTGTATTTGATATAGATCGAAAGCACATATGGAGTGGGTTTGGTGCATCTGGTGGATATGGTCTAGAGTCTTCAAGTTCAGTGTTTCTGTATCGACAATGAGATAACCTGCAAAAATTCTCAATCTGAGTTCTAAAGCTTAATGATATAAAAAATTATAGTATTTCATTATTACGCACTGATTTAAATTTAAAGCTATATGCAAGCTGTTTTAATTGGTCGATAAAAAACTTGAAAATCTGGATACAGTTTGTGTTTATTTAATTCAACCGAGCCTAAAAAAGTCTTATAAAACTTTACTCAAAATTTAAGGAGATATTTAAAATATAGTGATATATACGCACTTAAAACTTAATTAAACAAATTATTTGACATTAAAGATTTGTGGTATCAAGAATGATCTGAATTCTAAAATTAAATTTCTGCGTTAAATCTTTAATCTGTTTTTTCTCGCGGATGTTTAGGCTATTCTAGCGATTTCGTTCTACGCAAAAAAGGAATAAAGCTGTTTTTCGTAGATTGTTTTCTCATATTACGATAGATGGCTTCAAATTTGTGTTTACTAAAACTTATTTACGTACAAAAATGATTCTGTTTCGGTGTTATTTCATTCCCATAGATATAAATCAAATGTGTGACGAACTACTCATGACCATAAAAAGAAGCAAAATACACTCAGCTAAGAGAAAGATTTCGTGCAATTAACAGTTAGACAAGTATTAAACCAAATATATTGACATCAAAATTTTAATCTATTGCTTTCGAAAGCGGATACTACGCTACAGAAGACTGTAATGCACTAATTAATTTGTAATTAAAATGTTAAAAGGTCATGCCTTATTTTTATTTTTTCTTTCATTTGAGTTTTGAGGCAAGTCTTTCTACGATACGCTTGCAAAAACATTGAAAGTTTTAATACTCATTTTATAATATCAAGTTAATTGATTGACATTAACTTTCTTTTCAAACCAGGGACGATATTAATGATTACATTTAAATTATGTTGAAGGTTTCGTTTCGTGTTTGTGTTTCGGTTGGTATATACTAGAACGGACGGAAAAACATTCCTTTAATTGAAAACCAGCAAGTATAATGTGCTAAGCCATTATAGTTGCGGAAAAATTAAGTGAATTTAAAACTCTCCATGATATATTAACTAATTCAATACTCAATTTGATGCTTCAGTTTTACTTTAAAAATATTTATAATTCATCTTAAAATATTTCGCAATGAATGTTTGTTTAAAATTGCAAGTAAATACTTATCTGTGTCAATGGCTTTTTATAACTGTAAGGTATATTTTAATTTTAGAACAGTTATTTTGATTTCAAAGCCTTTTCCTATCAATTCTTGTTTCCATTTACAACTTCCTACCAGAATGAGTTTTAGAATCGCTTTGAATGCAAACGAGTTAGAAGATGTATTTAAGGAAAGTTCAACTAACTTCGATAGAAAGTGCTAGGAATCCTTAGTAGCGCGTGTTTGCCTTCGGGCTAAGTCACTCTTGAAGCTGGTACGCTTAGCCGTATTTTCCGTGCCTTTTGATATTCGCCGGATAGTTTAAATTAAGAGCCAACTACAATTGTGTTTAGCTTCGGCTAAGTTTTGTTTAGTTAATTATAGTTTTGTTTCTTATTTCTTATTCTGAATTAAAGCTCGAGTAGAGGCTTGTTGTAAGCCCGAGAGGGGGCCCGACTGTTATTCTTGTTTGAGTGAAATAAAGAGTAGTTTAACCGTTCTCGAGTCTACATCTTTAGTGGTTTGAATTTAGTGATATGTCGCTACATAGTTCACTAGGCTCTTCGACGTTCATCTCACACAAACGGAGTAATATTATATTTATCTAGGAACTCCTGATTTTTCCTCACGCTTTCGCCTAAAATATGTATTACTTATGAAATTTCTTCAGTGAATATGTCTTTAAAATGAGTACTTGGTACCTCCTTTCCCAGTGTTTGAAAAACTGAGTGTCACCAAATTTGTTTTTGTTTATTTCGGGAAAATTTCTATGATGATATTGTCGATCCGGGACTATTAGATATCAATATACTTAGCAGAGTCGAATGTCAGTGAGCAATCACAATAACCTCCCATGTTCCTTCCCAGACATCGCTAGCTAGTTTAGTGTTAAAATTGAGCCTATCGACAGCATAACTCGGAGAAACATGCTTTGATCTGGGAGTTAATAAAAGCAAAATCTCCAAAATAATACTGTAAGTGTGCAGATATATTACTTACGTTACATCGATGCATGAAACTTGAAAAATGTGCAGTGCCCTCGCCGGGATTCTAACATCGGATCTCCCGATTGTTAGACTGACGTGCTATCGAGTTGCACCACGAAAGCATGCAGAAAGGGAGAGAAGAGAAAATACTTATAAATGGAATATAATGCTGAAAATACATGTATAATATTTGTGCGAATTGCGTTGCACTTTTTAAAAGAAAATCGGAGGCAGTTTCGAAATGTTCTATAATGTATGACGAAAATACAAACAAAAACCAAAAATCGAAGAAACTAGAATAACTTAGCTAATATATGAGGACGTGTATGCGCTAAGCCCCGACGATATCACGGCCAAACCAGTGAAGTAAGCGATCGATGTTGTCCAACTATACAGTAAAGGGAAAAAGACTACCAACTGCACGAATGAAATTTTTTTTCGTTAAATTCTTTTCTTTGAGTATTTTTTTTTTAGATTCTTTTCTTCAGCTTCATGAGGAATGTATTCTTTCCCCTCACACTTAAAAGGATCTGGATATTCTCAGATAAAAGCAAATTACAGAGGTCATCCCCTCTTAAAAAGTTTGAAAGATTTCTTCCAGCTTGTCGACATCAACTGTAGCCAAAAAGTAAGAAAAATAAAATAAAACCCTGTGTCGTATACAATATCTTCCCCAACTGCCGGATGCCAGATGGAATTTCTTCGGAAATAGCTGAATCCATCAGCCTATCTAAATAGCAGGAGCCTGAATTTGTTTGTTGCAAGAATGGACCACTTTTTTGTAAAAAGTTGCTCTTAAGTTACCTGCCAACTTCATGTTCAAATCCTCTAATCTAATCAATGGGCAGGGGCCATAGATGAAGTTTAGAGCAATTTTAAATAATAATTATAATAAAACTATGCTTTTAACCGTGACCAAAAAAAAAAAAAAAAAAAAAAAAAAACGAAAAGCTTTGCGATGGACCTCTTGGTTTTAGTTGCTTTACAGCGTAACTTTTCTTCTATTACAGCTAAATACACTATGTACTTTTTTAATAGATACTGCTTCATTATAGTTATAATCTCTTAAGAAAGTTTGGTTTCCCTTTTGTTAAAGCTGTTTTATTTAAATTTTTTATTTTTTCGAAATATGTATTCCTAAATTTGTCTAAACTGTTAATGAACTTGTCAATTAACTACTTTTATCAGCTGAATACGTATCAGTAAAGATGTTCATTGAATTCTGTTGATGTAAAATACTTTTTTTTTTTTGGTAGCCTTGCGTAAGTAATACTATTTTTGTTAAATTTAGGCCAATATTTGAAATTAACGTAGGTAAATTGTTCTGGTTTAAAATGCATAATTAATGCATTTTAGTAGCTTCATTACAAACTACTCAGTTTGAATCAAGTTATGTGTAACCTTCTGAAAGGCCGAAGAGAATAAGCGGGAGAATAAGGAAGAAATCTGGCACTTTTGGCAGCTACTGAAAGTAACATGAACTATGGAGATTTTCCAATAGATATCAGCAGAGCTAAATTCCATGCAACATGCATCAGGCGTTGTTCTAGGTTTTGACATGAAGCTTTTTGTCCGCACACAGTTACCCGATTAGGCTGCGAAAGTATGTAAAAGACTCCTTACAGATTAGTTACTAACATCGGCACAAAAATGGTGCATAAAACATTTATCAAAATCACAGAAATCTGGAGATATACGCCAAAAAATGAAAGTAAATAACTTGTTTTTGAAGCTATTCCTGCAACTCTGTAATATACAAGGAGGAGGACAAATGAGGTTTCATGTCTACTTTGTTTACATACTTTTGAAACATATTTCTCAATTTGGTTAACTATTAGAGCGTACAAATACTTTTGATATCTATGTTTACATTTTACGTCTGTACATAAGTGTCATATATGTCGTTAATGCAGTGGATTCGTAGAAGCATAAATAAGAATCTTCAAAAATGATGAAATATTATCCACTTTAAATGATACTTTTTCCGTTTCTAAAAATAATCAAGAATAAAAAAGTATTTTGAAAATATTTATAACAGAAGAAAATGTTTTCAGTCTTATCATGTTCTTAATGTTGCTCTCTTTATGTCCCTATATTTAGCTGATTTGCGATTTCTTAAGCAAGATTTTTATCTACAAAAAATAAGCATCGCTCTGGGAACTCTAGTTTATCATACCTTTCAGAAACATACATTTTCTTTATGCGAAAAGTAAGTTAATTTGAAGCTAATTCTTGAGCAAATCTTAGATCGACTAAGTTGCTTCGCTTTCTTTTTGTTTAGATGTGTTTTATTTGATCCTGTTTAGTCTATTTAATTTTTTTAATAAATACTAAAAATTAAGTAATAGATAAAGTGCCTTTTTTTCACTGAAATGCACTGCTGAACTTTAAAATTTCTTCACCAAGATGAAAAGCATTTAGCAGAATTATATTTACCTTACAAATGTATCATAATGGAAAGATGAGTTGGTTAAAGTTTTAGATAATTCTGAGGTATAGAAGAGGCAGACATTGCAACCCTGAGAATCCACCGTTGGCAACAGTAGCAGGTGTTATACGTCTAGGCACGATGTAGAGCAGATTTCGAATGGCATTTTGGAAATTACAGTTCATACGGCTTCAGCTCCGTACCAGAGTTCATTTGTCGTATTAGATAATGAGTGTTCTGTTGAGAACACGACGGGAAGGGCAACCTGTGTGTTGAGAAAATATAAGACCATATGAGCGACATGCAGTCTTGCTTTATCATTTTGAAAGGTAGTGACTGGGGTCCCAATGGTATGACACATTCACAGATAACTGAAACCTCAGTAATGTAATGGTGGATGGACAAAATACGGAGCTAGAAGCAAAAGGGATATGTCCTATTGGCAAAGCTGATTCGAGCTGATTATTTTGCTGTTACATCAAAGGAAGCCGAAGTTATGGATGCCTTGCTTACAATTCGTGTTGTTGCAGATGTCGTCGAACCGTACGCCTGGATATTTGATGTTGTGCAACACACCCAATTTTCGTACTCAAAGGGGGTGATGTGTTGCCTGATCCCAAACAGGGTTGCAAGCAATTTACCTGTTATTTCGGGGATTGGTGAACAGGAATCGTTGAGGACCCGTACATCCCTCTGCACGGTTCTTCTAAATCTTTCGATTGCAAATTTTTATAACAGCCATTGGAACTCGATCAGATAGAGCAATGTGTGATAATTCCCAGTCCCGGTAGGTTACAATTCTCTCTCTGAATCGAAATCCGAGACGTGTTGGCAAGAGTTTCTTCTTTTTACACAAAATATAACACGACTTTTACTATGCGAGTAAAATATAATAAGTAAGTGACATTTCGTAATGAAAAATCTTTCTTTAAATATGCCTTTTTATACTGCTTCAAGGTATCGTTATGTGAGCATCGTATGAAGCACAGCATGCCTATAATATGAACATAGCGTGAGGTGCTAGTCATTTGTATAGCACGATATTATTCTTTTAAATTAAGGGTCAAATAAAAATTAGTTCAGGAAAATTTATTTGAGTTTTAAAATAGTTAATTCCGTTTAAATTTTTAATAATGCTTAAACATTATGTTAATTAAAATAGTTATATCTCATTAAATTCACCCACTGACGATCAAAATAAAATCCCAAATACACATACTAAGCCTCTAAGGGACATAAAATTTCAAAATAATTGATACAGAAAAATGAAGCAAAGTTATATAAAATAATTTTAAAAGCAAATATTTAGAATACTTTCTTACCTAAAACGAGTATTTGAAGACCAAGCATTAGCCACATCAGAGCACGTTTCCCAGTTGGCACATTTTTCCAAATTAATCACAGCAGTCATTGGTGAAGAGCAATCGAAATCAACCAAAGGTTGTCTCGGAATTCTTCGGACTCTTGGCACAGCTAGAAGAGCTGTGTAGGTGAAAATTGCGATCAAAAGAGAAAACGTGAAGCATAACTTGTAGAGATACCTTCTTGGAGTACTTGGTCTCCTCTCAGCTAGTGGCCCGACTAAAAGCGGAATCAAAATACAAATGAGCCCAGACGCAACATGCACCCATATAGTATGCCACAATGTCAGACCTAGTGTTCTCATGTGCACGCTGAGGAATGGTATGATACATGATATTCCTGTAAGTACAATAATTTAAGTAAAGAAATGCATCGCATGATTAGAATGAATATACAGCTTTACCTTTTAATGCGCTTTTTTAAGTGATGGCTTTAAGAAGGAAAACAAATTATTTGGTAAAAACGAAAGTATGTTAATTTATCAATGCTTAATATCCTGGGAACATTATTTTTCGAACTTTCCGCAAAACATAGAAGTCATAAGAGATATTAATACATTTTTTTCAATTCTAACAGAAATTTTCAAATTACTTCGCGCCATTAAATTTTACCGCTAAACATTAAATGTGTTATTTATGAAATTTTGATGAAACAAGCTTTCTTACCACCATAAAACATGAAATTAACGATATTTACGGACACAGAAGTTTTGCATTCTGGTGTAATCATTTTGAAACCTGAAAAGAAAGAAAATTCAACTTGATTTATTACGTAAAACAGCATAACTTTCACACATCGCATAGAATATAAAATGTCATTTGTTTGGAATAAAATATTCTATGTAAATAAATTTTTTAAAGGATTATACGGAATGCCAAGAGATGCTAATGTTTCTTGCAGAATATATAACGTTTGGAATCATTAGTTTCTTTAGACAATTTTACTTTCCCACGTCATTTTCAGAATCACTGAGTTTCGTAAATACATTCTGTATCTATCATATGGAATTTCACTGAATTCATTATTTGGTGGAACATTTAGTGCTATTTTTAAGTAAACGGTCTCAGATTAAGGAGTTTAAAATTTCCTTAAGATTAATTGTAATATATTCTGTGAATTCATTTTCTCATATATCTTCATTTATTATAAGTTATCTCAGTTCTTTCGCTACACTTATCTTTAAAAAATTTTAATTTATAAATGTAGATTTATAACTAATATATTTTCAAGTTTTTAATTGATTGACACTTCGGCAATTGATAAAAGAATAACAGCATTTTCGTTCCCCATAAAACGCAGCTTTACTTCAGACGGAATCTAATCAGAGGTTTGGGGACATCATTAGTTTTAAAATTTTTGTTTGACTTGAATAATGCTATTTAGTTAAATATTTTTTGAGATATAAATCTCAATTCAAATACTTAATGTAAATTTTATCTTATGCATATTCTCTTTAAATTATTTTATACTTGTAAACGCATTTTTACCCGCTGAAGGGTTTATATTATACGCTCAGCATCAGCTTGGATTTAGGCTTGATGAGGTCCTAAGCTATTTGAGACATGCGGCCTTTATAAGGTATACGGGACAATTTTTTTTGGAGGGGGCGGCGCCCAAGAAAGGGCTGGCCCTAAATAGCTTGCCTATCTTATACACAAATCCAGCATTGCTCAGCATGCTGCTCAGTTTGCTAATTATTTTAAACATGGTTCTGCAGCGTGAAATGCTTCCCTACTTCAAGTCTGAAAAATACAAACTCTGGTGCATGTACTTATTTAGTTCCTTCCTTTTCTCAGACTGTTTGTCTTTGCTCAACTCTTTTCTTGCAACTATGCTCATTATAATGTCTCTTATTTACAAAGCGTTTTTCTCTTCACTTTAATCATTAAAGAAAAAATCATTAGAGTTTGCTGTTTGTACGTAATTTCTTTTAATTACAGCATGAAGATCGTTATAGACTGAACACAAAAGTTACATCTATGTACCCAAAGGCATGTTAAACTTCTTTGGTAATTATTTAATTTTTGTTGCGCAGATTGAACTGTAGCATCTGATTGGTGTCCTGATTGGTTTCTATGCATTCGGGTGAGTAATTTCATCAAACATATGATCTAAGGATCTAATTCAAAAATTAAATCAATCTGAAAGGTAAAAAAATTATTACATCGACAGTTTTAGTTATAGTACACTATATAAGCTGACTATAAGTCATGTATATATAAACTGAAGCTTGTAATTTTGCTGACACAGTGCATAACCTTCTTCAAATTACTTTTAATAATATCTTGAAATTGAACTTTATCTAAACACAATGACTCTTGGGTCCTTGCAATTACTACAAATTAAAATTACTTGATTTTAAATCAGTTATATGACAGGATTTCAAGTTAAGTACTTTTATGACCCAGCTGATTCAACGCGAGTCTGACAACTATGGCTACAAGTGTCAACTAGAAGTTCATAAAAAAAAAAAAAAAAAAAAAAAAAAAAAGAGTGCACAATAAAAACATATGGAAGTCTTTCCTAGATCCTAAAGGAAAGATCCATTTGCTCCAGTCAATGCTTCTTCGGTATTTTCGGAAGCGTTCATTTATATTGTTCTGATTGAGGGAATGAAATAAGCAATAGCTGATAGCACTGGAAGACAAAATTCTAATCTTGCTTAAAAAATCAAGAACTTGCATTCCATCAAAACTGAGAAAACTTTTATCTTTTTAAAATTAATGCTGGTTAAGTAATTGTTAAAAATTAAAACAAAGAGAGAAAAACATTTTTTTAGACAGTATATATGATTTCCTGATGCCGCCCAGTCGGTATAGTGGTTAGTAATACAGACTGCCGTAGTGGGTTCGAATCCCGTAAAAGACATGTTGTCACTGTCCGTCCCTTCATAGGAGGCAATGGTGGCCACCAGTTAAGTGTTTCCATAATGAAATGGCCAAAGCTTACAAACTAAAACTATATTGAACTTTATTAACACTGTGTATAATAATTACAAAAAAATAATTAAAGTAACTCGTAAGTCTCCCAAGATATGAACAGGCAATTCTTGGATAATGCAAGAGGTAAGTCTAATTTTTTTAAAACCGTGTATTTGATAAGTGTTGAGCAGTAATATATGCATATAATAAGTAGATACACATGTGTGACGCAATACCATACATTCTTTAAAAAGAAGTCTACGAATTGAAATGCTGATATTATTTCGTTTTCCGGCGTTTAAAAGGATTTCGGAAATATAATGGAAGTGTAGCATGGAATTTAATAATAAAATGCCTCTTACCTGTTCTTTTCGTCAGCGCTCCTGCAACTTTTGGGAACTAGATGAGTTTTCGCCGGCTAGTCTACAGGTGAGTTTGCGATCTGTCAGTTAAATGCAGGAGCGTCTCTTCTCGACCAGAACCGGTTTTCTTCTGACGTAGGGTCGTCACCTCAAGCGAAGGTCAGTTTATTACAGGATATAATACAAAGAGTTTTGAGTTGTTGCTCTCACTGCTAGTATTTTCTTCCGTGGGGAAATTTTTTCGAAAGTGAGGTTTGGTCATCGGACCCATTCGAGCGATGACCTATTCAGGCACCTGAAATAACTAACGAAAGTCCGAGTTTTATGACCAGATTCGCTAAGTATTTCAGTGGTGTAAATAGTGAAGACCGGTCTTGCCTATGAGTAAACAAATGATACTAGACACGATTACACTATATTCCATTGTCCAAGAACAAAACAATTTTACGTATAATATTTCACAATCATTAAAAAAAATTTAAAAAATTAAAAAAAATAAAACCTGATAAAATACTTAACATTTCTATCTCTTCCATTGTTAAAAAAAATGAATAGTATGCAAGAAAGAATTTATGAAAATTTTGGGGGCCAAATAAACTACGTTTCGGAATTTCTTGTCCCTATCTATATGATGCATCTGTGTGTGAATATTCACCATCTCAGTATCATTATAGACAATAATTCGATGAAGACATTTTCTCTACTCGGGCAGATGAGGTCACTGAAGCTTTTTTTAATTCAGCGTTAGCATCAGAAAAATAAATATCTTATTTAAATTACTTCCTGACACATATCGTGTCTCTAAAAGCACAGTTACCTTATATGGCTATATCTCAAGCACATTAAGAAATGCTATAGTTTTAAACTTTACGCTTTTATATCATTTATGCATATTATTCGTTGGAATCTGGTATTCAGAAGAAAGTAATTGTTACTCGAACTGTTGAAATGAAACTTGAAACAGAATAAGTTTTAGGTTAGTAACTGACCGCAACTTGGAAAAAAAGCAGCTAAGGCATTTAAATGAGTGAAAGAGTCTCATGGAACTTGAATGGTTCAAAGGTTCTCATGGAACTTCCTAATCGCATATAGCAAACTAACCATAAGCGGTCAACAATGCTGCGTATAGCACTATCAGACTAAGTACTTGGTATCTTAGAAAGGGTATTTTTGATTTTTGTATTTTGTAGATGTTTGCAAATAATACTTTTTGCCTTCCTTGATATTTTGAGCTCAACAGCTGCCAAGGGGTAAAGTCGCTGAACACTGGTGATTCTACACGGGTTCAAATACGGCAAAAGGGCTGGCTGCAAGAGCGCTTTTACGCTTCCCCCCCCCCATGTTTAACTTGTATATGAGAAAATTTTCCTTACAAAGTCCTTCACGAAGGCATCTTTCTCCTTAGGTAGGTAAGTCACGAGACTGAACCGCATTTGCAGGTCCACTCTTCCTTCAGAACAAGGCGCGGATGAACCTCCGCTCTTGCTTCCTTGGAGCGGCGCACCGCCTGGCATTCACCAGACGGCACTGGTCGTTAATTTGCTACCTACCAGTCGCTCGGGCTGCCCGTCGCTGCGGGACATTACCCAGCAAACCCGGGGCGCTAACCCCCTGGCTACTAGAACCACGCTGCGCTAAGACGTGCCAGACCACCGGGTCGGCCAATAAGTGAACTTTCCGGGGCCTTCAGAACCACCAAGTTCACAAATTTCATATCCCCATGGCCGAGACTGCCCGTAGTCTTAGGTAGGTAGCTGTTGTGTTCTTTTGCGTAATCAAACAAAGCAAATCAAGCCAAATCCTTAGATTCATTCAATTTTGATTATTCTGATTCAGGTGCTGAACATTGTCACGAAGCAACAACATTTTAAAAAGACACTCATCAGAGTTCGAGGCGTCCTAATGTTTGAAGCCAGAAATTTCTGCAAGTTCTTAGAAGAATTTACAAAACTGGACATGCCGTGATTTGAACTTCAGGTCTTCCGATTTTGTTAAACGAAATAGTTCCCAATTACGCCACGAGAGCAAGCAGTGGAGAAGGCAAAAATTAGTTATATTCTTTCCCACTTAAAGGGTGACTGCAGAAAGAGAAGATCCAGGTGTCAAATTCAGGTGGTGACGAGCTATCGTCCACCATATTTTGGTTCGCTGCAACTTGTTTGTCATTATTAGTATTATATTATTTGCAGGGACAAAAGTCCAAATATTAGTTATATCCACGATAGGATTAAAACTCCGGATCTTTCAATGCTAGCTGGGATAGTTACAACTTACATCGCGAAGGCGAGCAGTGAACGCGAAAATTTCTTATACTATCTCCCACTCATAAAGCGGCTGAAGGAAGTAGAAGACGTAATCGCCAAATCCAGGTTTGGACAAGTTTTAGGCCACCAACATTTTATAGTTAGGCGCCATTGTCTGCATTTGATTGCTTAGAGCATGAGAAACATGAGAAGCCAGCTATGCCCTCACGGGGATCCGAACTCCGGATCAACCGAGTGTTAGCTAGATTTACTGTCACTTACATCTCGAAAGCAAACAGTGGGGAAGGAGAAAATTCCTTATAACATCTGCAGTTGGAGCACAGTAAAAATCCAACAAAAGCATCAAAAGACACAATTTACAACTTTTTAAATGACCTAAAATAAATTTATTTCTTCGGCTATGGATAGATTAAACCCATTGCAGAAGAGCGTTCTTAAACTTTGTGCGCATAACATAATTCAGGTAGCTTTCTTGTGTGTAGAATTCTATAATCAGCAGCCTGTAGTGCACATTAACATGCATAAGTTAATTGATTTTATTTTTCAAACTGAGTGACGTTTGAAATTCTCGGAAACGCTCGCCTTCCGGTCACGTGAGTAGAGACCAACAGCACTGTGGCATGTATAGATTTCATGATCGCAACAATAAGGAGGGGCCAGAGTATCAGATAGTTGTAATTGTCGCAATACTATGTGCGGAAGAATGTGAAAATATTAACGCGGAAACATAAATACGGAAAAAAAAAACGGAGAATGAAAAATCGTTTTAGTCACGTATATTTAAAAGAAATAATATTTTCTGTTTACAAAAATGTATAGAGGTTAACCCTCTTTGGTAGCGTAGACTAACAGACGTAGAGCGAATAATTGCTATGCCGAAAGTAGCAAGAGTCTTGAAAAGGTTTAAAACTACTTTTTAAATAAAACATAACTTGAACATAAACCAGCTATCACTTGTGGCTAAGTAATTTAAGTAAAAGTCAAATTCAAATTTAAAACCAAGCCTAGAAGTTAAAGATTACACAACTGATTTAAAATTCTAGAACTTCTCACATGCGTAACAATTAAATGTCGACAGCAATAATGCAAAGACTTACAATCTTATCAGAGCTAGCGAAAGCTAGTAACGAGGCCTCGAGAGGCAGAAACATGCTATGTCTTACAGTTCAGAAGCCTCGACTTAAATACTCCGTAACTCATTTACATTTCTAAAGAGGAAACGGAAAAGACTTTATAGTAAAGGTTTAAATCATAATAAGTAGTTAATTAGAATAATAATAACTCTACAATGCGTTCAAATGAATGACCAATCACTTCGTCATCGTTGTGATGCAAACATTGCAGATGGTGATCGTTCGTTTGAACAAGTCTTGTAAATACCAAACATTATTCCTCGGAAATATCAAACATTATTCCTAGGAAATATCAAACGTAATTTCTAGTATATCCGTAATTAAAATTACTTTTCGACTTCTGTGGTTTTTTTTTTTTACTTACTTTTTCCGCATTCACATTTCACATTTCGCCACACATTGTTTTGTGAAAATTGCTACTTTTGAGATGTTTTATCATCTCTTAAAGTTGTAACCATCAGTTCAGATACATCGTGTATACAGGATGATTCCAAAATATCTGGCAAATATATAAAAGCAGATAAAGGGGACAGAAATAAATAGACTTTGTAATAGAATGTTGGAATGGCACTTTGAGGTAAAAAAGGGCGTTCTGAGATTGTCCATCGTAAATCATCGTTCCCATTGCAGATATGGAGCGGTATGCATCGCTAAACGAACACGGAGCTCGCTGATATGCATTTCATTTCTGGGGCTGTGAACAGAAGAGTTGCTCAAAGGATAAACTAAGAAATTTCCGAGTGACAGCTACCGGATCATCAATCATTTTAGTGTATTAACTGAGAGCTGCACGAGAATGAATCTTGTATAATTTTTGGTAGTCTTACTTTCGAGCAACTATTGTTAAAAGTTGAATGATTAAAATACTCTTTTCTTTTAAATACACATTTGTAATGAATTTTCACCTTTCTTATAAGTGCTTAGTGGTGTAATTGCAAATACGTCCGGCTAGCAATCGGGAAGTCCGGAGTTAGAAGCCGCAGAATTTTCGTCATTTTTCATGTTTTCTGCTCCAAAATAAATCTAATGACTATACAACCTGCCTTTCTTACTTACCTGTTATTCGTACATTTCTTAAGTGCCAAAACTTACACGCATCATTTCGTCTTATTTGAGTTCCTTGTTCTTACCTTTACATTTGTACCGGATATTTTTTAATTACCCTGCATATATATATATATATATATATATATACCATAATTCGATAGTCGAAACAGAAGAATTTCATCTATCGATTGATTATTAAATAATTATTTTACATTTATATAATTAAATTTCTTGAAAATAAAGTTTTATGCTCACGTATTTAAACTTACTAAACTAGCAAGCGTAACTAGCATAATGCAAAAATGCATACTCTTTTCATTTCGGAATTATTTCAATCGGGAAAACATAATAAGCAGAAATTTCATATCCAGAAAAATTGGTGTATTGGTATGGGTTTCGTATTGGAATTTTAAAAACGAGACCTTTTAAAGGAGAAATTGTTTAGAGTTATACAGTACATAACTATTTCTCCTATTTTAACACAGTGTAAGTAGTAAGAATCTATAAAACAAAGCAAGCTTTAACTTCCACCATAATTCTGAGGTAAATTCATCTATCTTTCAAGATTCGACATCTTCTATTTTCGCAAATCTCTTCACCTCCAGAAATCATTTGTATAACATCATTTCTACTCCTGTGTATATCTAGTAATGTATTT